GGAATTGGGGGAAATGATTAAACTCAACAGTTTGTCGGTTAGTTGGACACAAATATTACAATTTTCAATACAGTATATTATATACAATACAAAACACATTTTATAATTATTCAATATTTTCAGTTTAATGTTATATAGTTGTCTAAAATGCATTTCTCATCCTTCATTAGAAATATATTGATTCATTATAAAATATGTTATAAATCATAATTAAATCTAGAAAAGGGCACAATTAGTGGCCACATATGCTTTGTGCGGATTTTCAAACTTTGGTTCAATTGGTATACAATTGGGAGGATTGGGATCAATGGCACCCGAAAGGAAATCTGACCTTTCACAAATGGCACTCAGATCTATGATCGCCGGATCTATTGCTTGCTTTATGACCGCTTGCATCGCCGGGCTATTAGTTACTGATAGCCAATGCAATCAATGTTAACACACATACTGATAGACATATAGTGAGACAAAACTTTATAAAAGTTTGAATGATTTGACTTTGAATTTATTAGATTTTTATTGACGAAAAAATTAGGCTTAGCATACATTTATAGACTTCTCTACAATTCGTAAATATTATAACCTATTCATAAAAATACAGACACATTGAATATATAATGTCATTAATTTCATACATTATTTATTAATTATGCGAAACGAGACTTTAATTAAGCAAAACCTCAACTCTCGATAACTATGTCATTAAGGCATTGATGTTAAACATATATCATTGATCGACTGATTAAACATTTAGTCAAAGAATGAAATTAATATAAAAACAATAACTGTTATCAAAATTGCTTGTATAATAAAATTGTTTAAAATAAAAAATAAATCCAATTTACACCATAATTATCTTAAGGATGAATCGGCAGTTAATGATTAAAAATAATTAAACAAATTTAAAGAATATTTATGTTAAGAGAAAAGAAAACAACAAATTTCGATAACATAGTAATGATTGTCAAAGTATTAATTTGTTTAGAATATTGACTGTCATTATATGAGTATAAGTTTTTTTGTGTCCCGTTTTTTTAACCCAATTCTGAATGGCTTTCAAATGGTTTAAGAGTAGTCTGAATATTATTCAATCAATTTAGTCTCATATGTGAGATGTATTTGTATGAAAGAAAGTGAAAGTGTATTTGAGAGTCACTGGAAAATTCATTGACTATTTTCAAGTAAACAGACAACAATTGCTTTATTTAATATATTAAGTAAAAGTTTTTGACAAAGTTTTGTGACTTTTAGTTTTTCAAAGGACACGACTTTCGACTTGATTATTCATAATAAATAGTTTTACTTATTCTCAAAGTTATTATCTGATAGTTATATATATAAATATCCGCTCAATTTGGAAAAGTTTTACTTTAATTCATAGATAAGTCGATAAACAACAAGTTTATTATAAAAATAAGAATATCAATAAATGTTAACCGCTTTTCTAATGTATCACTTGATGTTAAAAATTGCAAAAAAGTGAAGTGAATATTTGAAATGATTTGTAAATTTTTATAAACTTATGTTTGATAAAAAATTTACATAATATCTAAATAAACTTTTTTCGGAGAAAACCGATTTGTTTTAAACACTTAGTACTCAGTGTTTTCACTCTCTATTGACGCTTTGTTTTGAAATAATACGGAAAAGTTAGTCAATTGGTGTGACCCGAGGCTAAACGAAAATCTAAAGTTCTCATGTATGCAAATAAAGTAAGTTATGGCCGGTTAGGTCTGATTTGTGCATTAATATAGAGGTAATGGCAGCAAAAATACTTAATAGGAAACGTCAAAACAAATCGTCATAAACGGGAATAGAGAGCAAGTGCTGAGTGACTGACAAATGCGAGTCTCAGTGAGTGTTATCTCAAATCAGGTAATTCCCCAAAATATTCTCAATTCCCATATAATGCCTGTTCTCACAAACGCTTTACTCATTTTCAACACAACTTCTAAACTTTTTGATGAGTTTGTAGTTCCGATCAGTAGTTATTATTAGAGATGTTTTTATGATAGATATTTGTACAAGTGTCTTTAAAAGTCATATACACTTTATAAGTCATATACACTTTATATTTCTACATTTATTCATCTCATTTCACTTGTTTCACATCAACTATTTATTCAATTTCATCCTAAGTTTTTAAAATTGTTTTTGCAATAGTTTTCATATAAGAAGTCTTCACAACGAGATATTTGAGTTCTGTTCTTGGATTTGATTTAAAGTGAAAGTAAAAGCAATTAAATAATGCCTTCAAAGAAGATAATAATAACTGAATTCGACGCTTACAATGAGGTAAGAGTAGTCATAATATAGTACCTGATTGTGAGAATAGGTGTCAATGATTAGTGTTTGGCATATAAATAGCGCATAGAATTCGGGAACAAATACATTATGAACAAAGAGCCAGCGCTAAGAAAAGGGCACTGGAGTGCGGGTTTGGCATCATTACTGGCTTTCACTCATTTGAAAGACAAAAAAGAGAAAACAAAACTTCCTAAATGTCAGGAAAGAAGTTACGATCAAATGAAACTGAGTTTAAGTCACGAAAATCCGGCACTCAATAAGAGTTTGAGTTCAGAATCCATAAGAATTCCGAACCAAACGCTGTTTATTGACCAACGAATCGATTCGCCGCTAAAACTGTCCAAAAGTGATAGCATTGACACCATATCCGATGATTATAAGAGTGATATCATCAGCGATATGTCTGCTTCAGGCTCTCACACCTCGGAGGACTCTTCGAGTATGTCTTCGTATGAATGCGAATCACTTGCCGACACAAATGAGAGCCACAATTGTGAGACCGTTCGTGTGATTCAACGATTCGGCGGTGGATTTCAGGACAGCTGTCTCTTCCCATTAGCTCTGACTCTGGATTTGAGTGATTTGACTAAAGGAAAGGTGACCTGGGATACTATCAACAGTAAAGCTGATCTGACACTCAGTAAATGGTGTTCACTCAACTCACGGTAAATAACTTTTTATATAATATAACTATAAATGTGTAGATACAGTATATTGAATATATGTATTGAATGGTGCCCACAATCAATAGGAAAGTGAACCGGGTTCTTTCCATTGCCACTGACTTTGTTTGCCCGGATCCTTCACTTCAAAACAAATTTCTATTGCAATCAAAACATATCGGAAAACCATTGAAACGCTGGAACTCTTATGAGGACTTGTATGCATTGAATCGCCAGAAACTTCCGACTAATAATGCATTCAATTCATTGGTGGCGACCGACGACTCCTTCTTTACCCGTCAATCATTCAAAGCCATCGCAAGTATTGACTATGAATTGAAAACTAATTGCAAGAAACGGAAAGCTAGCCAATCATCCGAAGATTCATTAGAAAAGTGTGATTACGAGACCATTATATTACAGCCGATCTCTAGTCCCGTGTTTGCGAAGAGAGCCAATAGTTTAGTACAAAAGCCGCGAATTGAAGCGAAAAGTTTGCTGCAAAACATAAGAGCCAATAGTCCACAATCCCTGGCCCTATATATCACCGAAATTGACAAACAATGCTATTTGCAACTCAAAGATTCACAACTATTTCAGTGTATGGCCGGGGAATGCGGTTTAGATCAGGTATTACTTCACTAATCATATGATTTTGTGAACACTTTTATGATTTTTAATTCATTTTATTTATCCTTCTCTATGGCATTAAAAATACTATCTTTTTCTCATAAACTTTTGCACTAAACTTATTTTTATTATTATTTTGTAATTTAGTTGAACTTAAAGTAAATTTCTTTTTTCTAATGAGGTTTTTAGGAAAACTTTTTTGAATCCAATAGTATTTTTGTAAAAATTTAATGTTTATTAGGAAAAGATTAGCGTTTATTTTGATTATGAAATTTTGTTAAATAAGAGTCAAGGAGTCAATTGAAGTCAACAAAGAGCTATAATTTTCATTTACACTCATATGAGAGAAAATATATAAATATTTTTGACAATTTTAGAAACAATGATAAGTCTCATAATACACACATAAATCGATAGCTTACTTTTTAGGTTAACTTAACTATAAATAGTTTATTTAATTTCATTTAACAGTTACCTCAATTTTAACACTAATAATAAAATTGACAATTCCTTCACACTTTCATTTAGAGTAAAGATTTGTATGAATTGAAAGATATTCTCGAATTTGGTTCAGAATTGACTAAATTTGTTGTGTCAGTCATCAGAAGACAATATACACCCGAAACTCAGGGCATGAAAATCGCGGGTTTTATAGAAGTATATAATATTATTGTATATTTAGAAATATATTTTTTAAACAAATCCTTAAATCATACTTTTGATGGAAAGGTTGCGTGTATTCTGCGAAAACTTAGAAACTGGCAATCATTGGTCACTGTTATCCGAGCCCTACAATCACCTAAAATCTACTTTATGGAGGAGGCCTGGATGGCCATGAAGAATGCCTTTCCCATACACTTCAAGTATGTTATTAATTATTAATTATTGACCACAAGATATATGTGTATCGTTTTCCTCGTATGCAATGTGTAGTGATTACCTAAAACTGTGTCGATTGGTTCGTCTCAACGAAACCTGTATAATAGGCTCAACATTTGGTCCCAGTATTCCTACATTAGCTGCACTGCTCTCCAGACTAAGCATTCACTGTATCGCCACTTGGGATCTCTTGGAACATAAGCGCCGGTGGACTGAACAGCCATCCATTGCAGGTACCAATAAGTGGCATATTTTTGGCATAAAATTCAGTTTAAATTTGCAAATTTAGATCTAATCTCAAAGGGAATCTCCAACATTCTGGTTTAGTTTATTGAACGGACATTCACACAGTTTTTGCCAATATTGTCGAGACATTTATTTAGTGTAGTTAATCAATCAATTATCTAGATTTTGTCATATTTAATACCAGAATTTTATTTATTGTTTAGTGTTTATAGAAATATATTTATGATAGACTTAATCAAAATATATATTCATTTTTTAAATATTTGACCGATTTTTTTAGTGTCATATGTTTTGTATTCAAGGCTTGAATTTTTTGAAACTCAATGTCAGTGAATCTAACCTCAAAATCAGTTAATCTTAGGTTTCATTTAAACAATCGGTGAAGCACTCAGAGAATTATTTTAGAAAAAGTTTTGGGTTTTTATCGATTTGAAAGTGTGATAACTTAAGTGAAAACTTAATAAAAATTTAATATTAGATACGGCGTACAAGTAATGGGTGATAATTTAGTTAAGTTTATAAATTATAATAAATATTCTGTCGACAAGAATTAATTAACTTTACATGAATTGAATATTTAAAGAGACTTTGTGTGTGTGTTATCTCTAATTGAAAACTTCACACACTTTCCTTTAATTTTATGAACTGTTCACAAATTAAATTAATTACGAATCACTTCAATGCACTGTTTTCAGTCACATATTTTGTTTTTTGTGACCAAAGGTTGGGTCGATAACGAGCTGATCGGGCAATTGGTTGAGTCCCAGAAAATGAGGCAAAGACAACAGGAACGGTATATGTTGTCATTAGATGACAGTCTCTACACACTAAACGGTGAGTTGCTAGGCTAGGCAAACTAAGTAGTGAATAGCGAAGGTGTCTTAACCTCCGTTTTTCTATAGTTTATGTATTGCGTAAGTGTAGAATTTGGATATTAGTTCACGAAAGTCTGAAGTATTGAAAAGGAAATGCATTTCATTAGACAATATAATATACCAAACCCTCATAACAATAGTTAATGGTAAAGCGACGGTATATTTATAGCAAACCATTTTACTTTACATGTTTCACATGTTTTTAAAAGTTTTCTTATAGTTTTAAATTTGAATTCTCTTTTTAAAATTGATATAAGTTTTCATATATTTGTTAAAATTTTATTGTGATATTAAATAGTGTCTCATTTCAAGTATTTATTTTACGCCTTTATAACTGTATTCTTATAGTTTTAAATTTGAATTCTCTTTTTAAAATTGATATAAGTTTTCATATATTTGTTAAAATTTTATTGTGATATTAAATAGTGTCTCATTTCAAGTATTTATTTTACGCCTTTATAACTGTATTTAGCACGTAATACGATGCTTCATAAATATGATAGCAGTAAACATATTTTCAATTTTATCTATAAATACGATTACAATTGTATATTACTATTTGTTATAAAAAATAAATAAAACATAAATGTCTCATTGAACTAAACTACAGTACATTTGGAGTGCATTTGAAAATATTATTCTCATTTAGTAAATGACAAAAATAAACACAAAGTAATTTTTGATAAACAAATTAATAATGTGACATTATTTTTAAATTTTAATTTGTCATTGTAATTGCTATTTTAAGTAATTTATTTTAATAGGGAGTTATTTGTAAACATTAAGAAATTTGATAAACACCTGCACTTACTGTAAATGAACTATAATCTGTTGAAACAACAGAATTTCCTTAGACTTTGAATTCTTAATCAATAATAATTAAATGAAAGCACAATACAATAGATTGAAAGACAATTTGGAAAAACCAAACTAATCACAAAATCTTTGAACATTGCTCTCAAATCTGATTTATAAATTAAATTTAATCGGTAAAAATATTTCAACTAAATTCGATATTGTATACATTAAATTACGGTATATTGATAATTATTTTTTCAATCTTGTAACTTATTGTAACATTATTCTAATTTGTAATAATCTTTTTTAATGTTCATTGATATTAGAATTATACGAAGAAAATATTAATTTTATTATATTTCGAAATGAGATAATTTGATTTTGTAATAATTTTTATGATATACATGTAACTACAGTATTACACAAAATTGTAAAAAACATAAAAAAAATACAAATTGTATAATGTTTTAATATGAGAATAAATGGAAATTCCTATAAATATAAAATTTCTTTTTAAAAATAAATTTGATTCATTGAAATGAAATATATATTTTAAAATTTACAGTACAAATGAAGGGCATCTCACAAATTAATGTAATTAATTAGTGATAAAATATATTTTTAAAGAATTATTAACACCTATACAAGCAAAAACACTATAAAGCATTAGCAAGTATAATTATTTTACGTCACATTTTATATTCTAGACTTTTAAACATTTTAATAAAACATCTAACTAGTCACAACTATAATTAACTTATTAACTAATTTAGTATTTTTATATAAAATATTTATTTTAATTATATTTTAAGAAGTAATCCTCAAATTATTATCATATTTTGTTAGTAAACTAATTATCATTTCACATTGTGAACAAATACTGAGTATTTAATTAATGCAACACAAATTATACAAACATTATGCAAATGAGTAAGATAACACATAACAAACATGATATTTATAAAAACAAATCCTATAAAAACCAGAAATTTGAGAATAAGTTTATATTTGTGACAAATATTTATAGAAGAATTGCCACAAAATTTGGGAACGACTTGTTGTCTCTGGATATGAGACAGTTTGGCGGTTACTGAAGGACACGGTTTGCGTCAAACCTCCTAAATATAAGCACTTCTTATCTTCATAATTGCTTTCAATACTATATAATATTTGTTTAGTTTTAATGGAAAACTAAATTGTTTTTATTAATAAACCAAATATTTGTTTCCAATTTCCCAACAGTTGAAGCAAAACATATTTAGCCATAGATTGTTCACATGATTGACATGAGATTTCTGATGAATACTCTTATTTTGACACTCATTTCCGTTTGCGTCAACTTTTTTACAATCATATCAACACATGTTTATAATTTTGTTATCAGAATCTTAATAATTTATATAAAAGTTAAATAAATTTACAATTTATCGTAAATATTGTTTTAGTGATTATGAATAATTAAATTAATTATAATTTCTAAATAAATATTCAATCAGTGAATAAATATATCCATTGATTATGCGGTTGGAAATATTTGGACAGGAAATTAGTATAAATATATTTGTATATTAAAAGTGATAGTGAACTATATTTCCATAAGATTATAATTGATATTATTATTAAATTATCGATTCATTCCATTGATTATGCGGTTGGAAATATTTGGACAGGAAATTAGTATAAATATGTTTGTATATTGAAAGTGATAGTGAACTATATTTCCATAAGATTATAATTGATATTATTATTAAATTATCGATTCATAAAACTATTGCCTATATTAATGGTACAAACCATAAGAATGGGGACAAGGATGTGGAGAAACTCAGTCCAGTCTAGACTTTTCATTTGACTTTATTATTGTCTTAATTATAATTGTTTGCAATTTTGTCTCAATATTTGTACAGTATTTATAAATAACATAAACCAATTTATTATTAAGATATTTCAATATATATTTCAATAACGGAGTCTAAAATTAAGCACACAATAGAAATGGACTTAAAATAATCAATTTTCTATAAAATATTTAATATCTTGATATTTACTGGAGAGATATACTGGGTTACATTGATTTATAAATAATTAAAATATTATTATACTAAATATGGATACAAAAAAAATAATATATTTTAATGAATATATTGCATATTTTAATAAGTTGTACTTATACTTTATTAGATTTTCTATAATTGTCAGATTAATTAATTATTATTAAATTTTAAATATCTGATCTTAGTACTGTACTGGACTTTGTTGCTTTCAGAAAATTAACAAGCAAACCCTTAGCTAACATATTGATAATAAGTTTAAATATTTTAAAATAAATGAATTAATCAATTAATAAAGTAAAAGTTTACTAATGTTTAATTCAGGAAATTAATTTTTATTTTATATTGAAGTTTATACAGTTAAAGTCATTTGATAATATGAATTTTCTGAATTAAAAATTAGTAAACTTTTACTATATTTATTTATTTATTTAAAAATATTCAGACTTATCATCGATATGTTTATTGAGTTTGTACATTAAGAGTTTGCTTGTTAATTTAAATTTGAAAGCAACCAAGTCCGGTACTAAATTTGATCGATTGCTATGATTAGAATTTTACCATGGAGTCTTTTCATTACACAAATTTCACCTTACACAAATAAAAAAAATAATCTGAAACTAATTTTATTATTTATGTAGAATTTTTAAATAATTGTATCAAAGTTAATCTCTATTAGATTTTCTTATTAATATTTAAACAAATTACTATTATTTTTAAATAAATTGCTTCACGTTATTAATCGTTATTTTAAACATCTTTTTGGTACTTTATTTAATGGTTACCCTATGACCTCTCCCTGAAAGCAACCGCATAGATGGGGTAATACCCGGATGGTAGCCGATAACTAACTGATACTTACCTGGGCAATTCAAGTAAAATATGTACAGTACCTTACTTTGAAACTTAAGCGCCAATTGATTGCAGTATTGATTAACTGGTAATCCATAGCATAGATGGCAGTGAATGCACGGAGACTGCAGACTGCAGTCAATGTCATGACAGCATAACTGCAAACAAATGAATGTTTTTGCAACTCATTTGTGTTCATCACAAACACAACAACTTATCTTATGCCTCACTTTCGATACCATTGCACACATGTTATCCCACTGTTATCTACGGCTCTCTTATAGCCATAAAAGTCTAAAACCTCACGAATTAAACGCATTTAATATACGATTTGATTAGCAGTGAAGACAATAAGCGAGTGATTAGTTCATCAGTGAATGAGTCATATATTGAGTCCATTGGTAACCATTGGTTGACTGTATTGTCATTCAAATCATATGTCACGTAATGATTGCGTAATCCATTGAATGAAAACAAATAGTGTTTTGCATTCAGACTTCAATCACAAGTGACTTTGGATTGCATTTAATGATCGCATGTATTAGTGGACCACTGCTTGGAAACCATGTCTTTGTATCACATGAGGGAGTATTTGTGGCAAAAGGTGGTCATCCGGTGGACGGGTCACCCGAGGGATCAGTCGTGCACTGAAGACCTGTCTCACAGCCCACCCGACGTGACACTGAAGGACGTGATGATGCGATTGGAGCCCATTGTCGTCAAACTCCAGGGTCTTATGATTTGGGATCAGCCCTACCACTCGATGGTCGCTCTCATTGCCTTCAATTGTCTCTATTGGTATGCATTTGCCATTCAATGCACCCAATTGTCACTCGTGTCTAATGTGTATGTCATCGACGGTTAGGCTCTTTGTTTGGTTCAATAGGTTTAGTTTCTATTCATATCTGGCGATCGCTTTGTTTTGCATCTATTTCTTGAAACTGTGGACACAATACATTTGGCCAGAAATCAGAGGTATGTCTTATCGTGATGTCTGTACGGGTGATACATGTGTGACATCTGTGTCTTAACCCTATAGTACCTCCGAATCCATCGACTGATACTGAAGGGTAAGTGTCCTATGGTTTGTGTGTTTGTATTATTTGTTTGTTTGTCTGTTTGTCTCGTTTGTGGCATCAGTTGACGCCAACTGACACACAATTGTATGGTTTGGCCGAAAGCCAGCACTTATTGCACGACTATTTTCGCTCATTTATTAACATATATTGTGTTGCATTTGAATCCAATGCTAAAACACATATACAGTACAGTAATACCGTATCTCCTAATCTATGATTAAATACGAGTCACAAGTCTCTAAGAATCTGTTTTCTATTTACAATGAATTGTCTTATTTTCACACAAATATTACATAACTTTTATATAATATATTGTTTTTTGATAGCGTTTTCATTCAATTCTTATCATACAGTCAACAGTTATTCCCAATTCTCTAGGAATTCAGTTTTCATGTGATGTATGACTCGTTTTATTTTATTGATTTGTTTATGTAATTGCTTTTTGGTATAAATATATAATGAAAAAGAAAATTCATTAACACTTTGAAAGATACGATAAAGTGTTGGAATTGAGTCCAAAAATTTCATAAGAAGTTTATAAGACTTGAAAACAGTTTACAAATTTAATGACTAATTCGTGAACACTTGGTATCGTAGTCTAAACACCAATTAATTTACTGTTTGAAGTCATCCCTAATTTTTATCACCGTTTCTTATAACAACTTTTCGTTGTAATAAATAATCGATTATTTAATCTAAATCTTAAGTTTGTATAAGATTTGTGCAAATATTTACCGATTCACTCGTCATTTGGTGTACGACTTCATGAGACGTTACGTCTAATCCATAGCTTTTTGACTTGTATTCAAAATAATTTTGTAATTTTTACTTTTTATTTTTCTAATGAGAGTATTGGTACTGAATTTCGTTCAGTCATTGCATTCGTTGTCACTCTTTATTCTCTCTTTCATCTAATTCTTAAGCTTTTTATAACTTCTATCACGAGTTTGTTATCTATTTTGCGTTGAAAATAATTTTTGTTTATTATGTCACAGGAGTTCACAGTTGTGTTTAATACATGTTTTGTGTTCATCTCACGAATGACTTGTATTAAAATAAACTAAACATTTATTAAATCTATTTTCGCTCACTTGTGCTACAGATGGACACCCGTTCACCCGAATGTGTTAAGCGCTCCAGAAATCAATCACTATATCAATGAGTTGTGTGTTATGTCGAGGGCTGTAATCCTATGGTTCATTAGATTACGACGAGAGAAACGATTCAAGTTCTTCATTACCACCACTTCTATACTATTCATGACTGCAATCATTGGACGACTCGTTCCCGGAGTTCTCATTGTCTACTCTATCAGTAAGTGTTGACACCTTTCCATCACATCCTTACACCTTTCAAGTTCTTCATTACCACCACTTCTATACTATTCATGACTGCAATCATTGGACGACTCGTTCCCGGAGTTCTCATTGTCTACTCTATCAGTAAGTGTTGACACCTTTCCATCACATCCTTACACCTTATGATTCACTCGTTGTTAGCGATGATAATGGCTTTGGGACCGGGATTTGCTTTATATGTATTACCCGACGGATTATATGAAGTGTTGAGAAATTTCTTTATCCCAAACGCCAAGAATGACTCGACGGATGGAAGTGATGGAAGTGATAGTCAAGAATCCAAGGGTTCGGACGATATCTCCGAGAAGGAGAGACTCTCTGAGATCGCTCTTCACGAGTACTTAAAGAGCACTGAATATGAACTCAACGCTATGTATGACAAGAGTGAGGACTCGTCTCTACAGCTCTTATCGGACACACAGTTAGACATTACGCTCGACAAAGAGCTGGGAATTGAGGCCCAACTGAATGACGAGGACATCAAACTGGACACCCGTTCCTTGAGCTCCCACTCGAGTCGCTCGAGTGGTGGCATTCGCTTCTTCACGTCTCACTTCAGCCGTAATAGCAGTTCCGATAACATCGAAGACGATTACGAACTCATTTCTGACACTGAAATACAAGACTTCGCCAAAGGCTCACAGAATAGACGACACAAAAACTAATAGTCATTTAGTTTTGCATTTCATTTGAGTTTTTTTGTTAGTTTTTCGCAAACTATTGTCAATTCGGAGCACAACTAAGAGTTTATGATTTGCCCAAAACTAGCAGTATTTCTATAGTCAAGTCAATCATGTGTTTCAACAGTGCTTTCGACAAATCTATACTTAATTTTATACTTAAACTGCTCTCACAAACCAAATATATATATATTTAAGTCTAAAATTAAGTTTCAAGAGTCAAACATTTTATGTCAAACGTATAATTATATCTAAATATTTAAGTGTTGTGTAAATGAGATAATGATTTAATTTTGTAAAATATTTACGATATTTGTATTATTAATAGCCAAACAATTTAAGTGTAATTAAAGCCAATAAACAAAATAACGATTCAATGCTTTCAATCACTTTTCAATACCTTTTATTCATTCATTAAATATAAGACCAAAAAAATACAAATAATCGTCACTTTGGGAACAAATT